CTTCCCACACATCAGGCCTGTACCCCAGTTCTTGTATAAAAATAAATCTTAAAAAGGGGGGGGGCTCAAGAGATATAGCCACCAAATGCAATGTATGAACCTAATTTTAAACAAGATTCAAGAAAACCAAGTAAAAAAATAAAAAAGAGGTATGTATGATCAAGGAAACCTGAATCAAATTCATATTTGATGATATTCAGTAATTATAATTGTTAATGTGGCTATAAAGGGGGAAAAAAGTCATCAGCTTTTAGAAATATAGATAGGTAAAATATGTCTAGGATTTGCTTTCAAACAAAGTGGGGAGGGACAGGAAAAGAGTAACTGGCCTAACTTCTCCCTTCTTGCTCTGTTCTTGTTTATCTTTTCTTGCAGAAGTTGTTCACCCTTGCTCTGCTTATCTTTCCTTGCAGACGAAAACACAGAAAACCAGGGGAGACTGAGTGAGAAGCAGAAGGGGTTAAGCACGCTCCCATTAACACAGCAAATATAAAAAAAGCATATCCACCAGATACCAGGACAGATCTGGAGAACACCAAACTTGGGGGTTGGCGGAGGAATGGTATGTGAATGCATTTCCTGGAAACTCCCAACTCTTTCTCTGAAATACTGCTGACACACATCCACTAGTCTCTTTCCCTCTTTAGTATCATCTCTACCCCACGCCCATACAAGCCCCTACCTAATTTTCCATTCTTTGGCCAATGAACCTGGCCTTGTTTAAGTGTTGAATGGGTAAAAGAAATGATCTGGTCAGTAACAGAAGCAGAATACATATGGAACAAGATTGGTCACACATTGCATAGGTGTTCATTATATTTTTTCTGCTTCCATGTATGTTCAACATTTCCCATAATAATAAAAAGTTAAAAAAAAATATGGCAGCTCTAATGTTAAGCACTTGAATATCTGTACTGGTTATAGGATTAAAAATATTTTTTGCCCTTCCCTAAGTGATATACTTATCACAAAACAGCACCCTCTGGCTATACTAAGGATGTTCATGTAAAACCTTAAAGGTGATAGGTCATTAAATGAGACTTATAGGAGTTCTGCCAGCAGAACATAGGAAAGAAATGAGTACAACTGTTTGAAGATAATTTTTGGGTTTTGTCTTTTTTGGTTTTGTTCTGAATCCAGTAAGTAAAAATCCATTGTAATGGTAAATAGCTAGATTTTTTCCAACAGAAATAGGATTATTCCTTAAATTTTTTTTTAAGTAGGTTTTTTTTTGTTTGTTTTTTATGTGTAGAAGAACTGGGGTGTACGCCAGAGATGCAGGGAGTGAGAAGATTCACCAGAGACAGAGTGGGGAGCAGAACAGGTGAATTCACTGAAATACACTGCTAAGGGGAGCAGCAGGCAAGACAGAAATGGTCTGCTGAGCTATATGGGGGTTATCCCCCTGGCAGGGGACTGGACTCAGGCATTAACAGTGATAGCACTGAGACTTAATCCCTAGGCCACCAGAGAGGCCCTATTCCTTAAATTTCTTTCTTTTTTTTTTTAAAGATTTATTTATTTATTTATACAAGGACTGGGCACAGTCAGAAGTGCGGGAGGGTGAGAGAATTCACCAGAACCAGAGCGGGGAGCAGAACAGACAGACTTATGAAGTACACTGCTGAGGGGAGCAGCGGGCGGCAGGAGAGGTCTGCACACCATGTGGGACCCTCGCCCAGTGGCCGGGGATCGAACTGGCACTGCAGAGGCTGCGGGCAGCTATGCAACCCAGAGCTCAACCACTGCGCCACCGGGTAGGCCCTATTCCTTAAATTTCTTAAAGCAGATACATATAACTGAATTGCCATGAGGAAAAGAATCAAGTTAGGAGTTTTTAAAGAAATCAGAAACACCAGTGAGAAGCAAGATATAAGTATTACAGAGGAATCTCCATAAAAGAAGGACGTTTCAGGTTCCCTGCCCCACTTAGTTGAAGGGCAGAGCTTAGTGGTGAGGTGAAACTATAGAACACATGGAAGGAGACACAGGAAGGGAGACATGTGAGGGAGGGCATGCTTACTTCTTGGCTTTGTACTTGCAGCAGACACTTAGGGAATGTGGAAGAGACATGTGCAGTCAAAGCACATAGACATACTTGAAAAGAGACACATGGATGAGAAAACACATGGGGAAGCTGACAATGGGAAACTTTATCTTGATTTTTACTTTGATCAAAATACCTAATTACAGTCATTTGAATAAAAATAACATTTTAGGTTTCATCTAAGCTACTGTAAGTACTTTGATCAAAACTAAAAAATGTTAAGATACACTTTCAAAGTAACCTACCTGCAACTGCATGACCACATAGTTGAATCGATCATTCCTTCCACAGCCAATAAATCTACAAACATGGTCTTTCCCTAGATAAAAAGAAAACAATGGAAAAGGTTATACTATGGATTCTCTTGTAAAGTATTAGCAACTTTTGTAGGATTAAATATAAATAGCCTGTCTTAAGAACCTTAAAGATAGAAGATCTGCATTATTCAATTTTCTACCTACCTCACCCCAGACCCTGCACTGTTCCTTGTGTAGTCAAATAAATATTTATTGAATGAGTAGACAAAGAGAATAAATGAATTGTAACTTACGTCAGAAGGCAAAAAGTAAGAGGTCACTTCACATCAACCAGACATTATACATATGCAAGTACGGAAGAGTAATAAATAAGGACTATTTTAAGAGTATAAACCCTGAATTTTAACTATAGCCTTCCATTCACTATTATATGACTTTGGGTAGTTACTTAATCTTTCTGGGCCTCAATGATTTGTATTAGGTCAGTGCTTTTTCAACCTGAGTTTCAAGCATGAAATCCAAGGAAAAGCTGGCTAGAATGCAGAGATGCAAAAGGGGAACAGATAAGATCCTTCGAAGCCTTTATTTAAAAGAAGCAAAGATCCTAAGAATGAACCAAACCTGGTGGATTCCAGGGCCAAGAGGGATTTAGGCTAGAGCAAAGTAAATGAAGGGATAGAAAGCAGGAGATGGTGCTACAGATGTAGGCATGCACCAGATCCTAAAGAGTCTTGGACTCCATAAGAAGGAATCTAAACCACATGTGTAAGTTAATGTTTTCCAACCTAGATTACAAAATCATCTGGGAAACTTTTTAAAGATTCCTAAACTATTTTGATGCAGACTCTGTAGGGGAAGAAGAGGATATGAGTTTTCCAAAAGTTCTTTAAATGATCCGAAAGCAGACAGGCCATGGGCTGATAATTTGAAAATTACTGGTGGAGAGTTAATAAACAGCTAAAATATTTTTAAGATATGGAAAAACACACATAGAACACTGAATTTTAGAACATCACAGTGGTGACAATGAGGATAGACTACAGAGGTCAATTCTGGCAGCAGAAAGGACACTCTACAGACAGTTAAAATATCCCAAGATAAGAAAATAAGGGTTTGAATTTGAAATAGTAAAGACAGAAAAAAATAGGATCAGAGAGATACTAAAGATGTAGCTTTTTATTAAAAATTGGTACAATTACGGCCTCCCTGCTGGGGCAAGGTTTAAGTCTCAGTCACTGCCCTGGCCAGGGAGCTAACCCACATGGCACAGCAGACCGCTCCTGTCTCGCCTGCTGCTCCCCTCAGCAGTGTATTTCAGTCAATCTGCCTGTTCTGTTCCCCACTCTGTCCCTGGTGAGTTCTCTTACCCCCCAACACCTCTGGCCTATACATACCCCAGTTCTTGGATGCATAAATAAATCTTTTTTGAAAAATTGCTACAATTATATGAAAAGTTGTACCAAAATAAAAGAATATATGGGTTGTATAATTTTTTTTAAAGATTTATTTATTCATTCATTTATTTATTTATTTATACAAGCACTGGGTACAGTCAGAAGCGCGGGGAGGGTGAGAGAATTCACCAGAGCCAGAGCAGAGAGCAGAACAAGCAGAAGGATCAAAGTACACTGCTGAGGGGAGCAGTGGGCGGCAGGAGAGGTCTGCGAGCCATGTGGGAGCCTCCCAGTGGCTGGGGATCGAGGCTGCAGGCAGCTTCGCAACCCAGCGCTCAACCTCTGCGCCACCAGGGAGGCCCGGGTTGTATAGATTTTAAGGGATATCAGAAAGTTGAGTGTGAAGACAATCAGCTAAATTCAGTAGACAATTGTAATGACAGGCCTAGTACTGAGACGAAAAAGCTGAGTTACAGAAATACACTGGGGAACCACTAGCTCATGTAAGGTAGATGGAACCATAAACATTGATGGAAGATTGCCAAGGAAAAGAATAAGGAACAAAAGAAACCTAAGACTAGAATTTGAAAAAATGAAACATTTAAAGCATGAGCAAAAATAAGAGAGCCCATGAAGGAAACAGAGGACTAGAGTGAGAGGCAGACAGATAATGTAAGAAAGGTACATCACAGAAACTGGAGAGCATTTTAAGGTGGAGAAGGCCAGTGACAAAAGACACAGACAGGCTGAGAAATGTTTATTAAAGAAAAAATTAGGATGTGACTTTGGAAGGGGGCAAAGAAACCCTGTCATAGAACATGACAATAAATGCAAAAACTTGCCTGTAAAGTGAGAAAGAGTGACAGACCAAAATGCAGACGAGCAAGATTTGGTAGACTTATGAGAAATATATTGCAACATTAAAAAAAGAATTTGTCCACTGACTGAATTAAAATGTAAAGACAGTCCAGACTTACTTTAGTTAATAAATCCATAACTTTTATATTTGGGTTATCACATTGTTCTCTCATTTCTGTGAGAGAAAGGGGTTCTAACTAGTAAGAATAGGTGCAATGGAAACAGTAACAATGTGAATGAAGAATGCATGTTTCTCACTTTGCATATTTTACATGTTTGCAAAACTATGTTATCTAGTAAATTGTACTAGGAATTAAAGTATGGAATAATGGTTAATTAGTAACTTACTCTTCTCAGTTTCATAGAAACAATAAAAAGTCATTAAAAAGGATTTCCTCTTACTACCCATTCTTCGAGTCTACCTTCCTATTCCCCCGCACCTCTGGCCTGCACCCCAGTTATTGTATGCATAAATAAATAAATCTTAAAAAAAATCTTTATGATAAGTTATACCAAAATACTATTTATTTCTTGACACTAAAACTACATTACTTAAAAATAATAACAACACAAATCATACCATAGACCTTTATTGGAGAACCAATACACAAAGTCAGCAGGAAATGTTCTAGGATTTACCAATATCTCTTCATTGCTTTAGATAAGAGTTTAACAACTTCTTATACCTTATTTTGTGGTAAGTTTACTACTGCTCTTGTATTTTAAATATATAGTATACAATTAATGAAACTACTTAATAAAGTTATTCAATAAATATGTACAAATTTTTGGAAGAATGGAGAAAATTACAATTTAAATAGAACAGCAAGTATTCACAACTAGGAGTAGTTATTAAAGTAACTTTTAAATTACTAGTAGTAACAGAGATCACTCCATGAGTACAGGGACTGTATCTATTTTGCTCTGGTACCTAGCACAATATCTGACCAATAGTAACACAATCAGCATTTGTGATAAACAAATTAATAGAAATTATAACAGCTAATAAAACAAGCTTAAGATGAAAGCACATTGTGCCAAGCATTATATTAAGTACTTCTGATGCGTTCAGCCATCCCATCTTAATAACATAAATATTTTTCAGATGTGGAAATGGAGGCTTAGTAAGGCTAAGCACTTTGTCCAAGATCCCAGTTAGAAGATGATGGAGGAATTTGATTCCCAAACCAATGCTCTTAATCATTATGTTAGAAATAACTGAAACAGATTTTTAGTCAAGTAACAATAAAACTAAAAAGGAAATAAAGACTGTGACAAAACACAGACAGGAAGACCTATTATATGCCAACTACTAAACTAGATACTAGGAATACAAGATAAATCAAGTAAGATTCATGCTGTCGAGGAGTTCATAGTCTAGATATTTGAACAAAAAAATGTAATACAACATGATAATCTCAGTATTAATAAACAAATTGATATGGACACTACACAGATTTGAACTTTTTGTTTATGAGACTTTACATTAGAGTTAATTCACTAGATTTTAAATGTATAAGATGAGAAGAACATTCCAAGAGAAGAACCATAAAGTATGAAGGATCCAAGCATAAATGAAAGATGATTTCCAGAACTGATAAGCTAGAGGACCATGTAAGGGTTAAAAGGTGGGCTTAAGTGGGAAGCATACTGAGACAAGAAAAGAAGGCTAAAGTCCTATATGCCAAATAGAGAAATTCAGATTTGACTTATTATTAAATGGTGGGGGACAGGAAGAGTTCAAAGGTTTTCGAGCATGAAAGTCACATGATCTGGCTGTGTTTTGAAAAGAAAACTAAAGTCCATTATACCTCTAAATCTTTCCATTTCAACATGAAGGAAAAGTTCATGTGCCAGAAACATGAGTTTAATACCTATTTTTCAAATACAGAGAAACCAAATAAAGGGCCAGATAAAGCCAAATTTAAAAAGCTAACCCTTGAAAGCTGACTATAGCACTGAAGAATAGGTGGGGGGAGAGGGCGAGAACAAAGTGTGGAGGGAGCACAATGGACTATGGTAGTGGACTACCAGTGCTTTGGTGGTAGGCGCACTACAGTAATAACACTATTAGGTTGTTATATTGTAAAACCTATATTCACAAAATAAGAAACATCGAAACATCGATATAAACCAACACCTCATTACAAAAAATTAAAAAGTAACTAAGTCACTTTTCTGCTTACCAGCTTCTTTACTTAATCTTTACAAGCCACATGAGGAATAACATAAGCACTTACAGCAAGAATTGTTGCACAGGTGAAATCAACTAAGTAAGGTATGTCTAATACTTAATATACTTCCTGGTACATAGTAAGTGCTCAATATATGTTCCCTATTATTAATATCACTGAAGTGTAGTGATTGGGAGCACTACTTTTGTAATCAGAGAAAGCTAAGCTAAACTCCTGACTCCTCTTTTACTATTTTTGTGACAAATTCTTTAACCTCTCTTGGGCTCAATTTTCTAACTATAAAATGAGGGGAATTTGTGGTAAGAATTAAATCAAGTAATATTTTTTTAAAACACACTCTGACAATAATAACAAATACAGAAAGTATGATAAATACAAAGAGGCCTATTGTCCCACTTTATTACCTATGTTATTGGGACATGAAGAAGTTCCCATTTTTCTATTCTTACCAATACTTGGCATTGTCAGACTTCTATCTTTGCCAATTTGCTAGGTATAAAATGATGCTTTGCAATAATGGGCATTTCTCTAGTTATTAGTGAGGTTGGGCATTTTTTCAGCTATTTGTTGATTACTTAGGTTTTCATTTTTAAGAATTGCCCATCCCCTCTCTGT